TCCTTCTCATCTTTACACAACTTTCTTCTTCAACCTCCTCACAGGGGAGGGCTTGATTTAGATCTCTCCTTCCCCTGGCTCTTTCCTTTTTTTTTTTTTGTTGATTTGGTTTTTTGTTATTTTTTTCTTGTTTTCCTCTTGTTTTGCGGAGCTTTTCTCTTCTGATTTAGTCTAGATCTAGAAGCTTCTCTCTCCCGTTTTAGAGAGGTTTCTATTCCGATCTAGTCTAGATTTGGGGATTTTTGCGTGTATGATCTTGGGGTTTCGCTTCCCTTAAGTTTTGTTGATGCACAAGTCCAATTTCAAAAGAGTTCAGATGAGCTTTGTAAAGGTTTCGCTCTCTTAGGTGTCAAATCTGTGCTCATTCAACCTTATTACTCTAAATGGAAATGGTGTTGAAGACACCGAACCTAGCCACGCACAACCGAAAGGCAAAACCGTAGTAACATATGTAGATCTCAATGTGTGCTCATTATTGATGACGGATAATAAGCCGCCGATTTTGGTTTGAAAAAGTCACAGATTTGCTCTTAAAGCGACTGACCCATAACATTGTTCAGATAAATCATCTTGTTATCTAGAGCATGTTTTACGTTGAAGTTGGCTAGGATTTGTCTTGGTTTGTAGTTGCACTGCGATGATTTTCTCTTGTATTTCTTTAGAAATGAATGTAATGTTATTTTGATTAAAAAAAAAAACCTTTCACTAACATGGACGCTGATAATCCTATGTGGCATGGCCGACACTGATAATCCTATGTGGCGTGACCGACACTAATATGCACAATTTTTAATAATATTTTCGTATTTTTTTGAATTTATTTTTTATTCTATCTTTTCTTTTTCCTTTTTAACTTCCCTTCTTCCTCTAGCCGGTTGCCAAGCCTCGGCGATAGCCGACAATCGACTAGAGGGAAGGGCCAACGAGGTCGACCTTGCCGTCATTGGGCAAGGTTGGCCTTGCTATGGTTGGGCAAGGCTCGAACTCACTAAGTCTGCCGTAGGTCGTGCCTCACCCAACGATGGCGAGGTCGAACCTTGCCAGGGGTGGGTGAGGCTTGCTCTCTCCAGTGGTCAATGAGGGCAAGCTTCACCAACTAGAGGAAGAAGGGAAGCAAAAAAATAAGAGAAAGAAAAGACAAAAAAGGAAAAGGAAAATAAATAAATTCGGAAAAAATTATTAAATATTTTTCACATTAGCACCGGCGGTCGTGCCACGTAGGACGGCCAGTATCCACATCAGCAATTTCTAATCAAAATTGACCGGATGGATTCAATTGGCAAAATGTAAAAAATATTATGACTCAATTGATACAATTAAAAGGCTTACGACTAAATTGGCAATTGTATAATAGGTTTAGGACTTTTTGAATAATTTTCTCGACTTTTCACCATATCCATTGCTATGATAATTAGTTGCTATGAATGATGAGACCGTTCTGACACGGTAATTGGGAAAATTACCCAATCGATCATAAACCTATTGTATTGGAGGTCAATTCAATCATAAATTTTTCAATTTTGCCAATTTAGTTATCAACATTTGCGGGAAACTTTAATGTAGTATTTCCGGTCAATTTTTACTGAAAATCGCTAACATGGTGGTCAAGTCATCGTCAGCCATACTACGCGGCTCACCATCATGTAAAAATCCGAGAAGCCAAAAAGTCTCTCTAGCATCAAACCATAAGAACGACCCGCCTCTCTCTCTCTCTCTATAGAACAACAAGAACAAGAAACAAGACGACGACCAGACCAAGAAGCGGGCAAGATGTTGCCGCTGGTGGAGTCAACACTCGCGGCTATGCGTGTCTTTTCCTACAATGGTCAATGTAGAAACATCTTGAATTCCTTTTCTTTTTTGTTGGTTGTTGACTTCTTGGGTGTTCTAGGCGCGACCAATCAAGAAAGAAAGAATCCATCAGCGTCGTGTCGTTCTTGGCCGCCCGTGACGGATCTGGTGTGATTCCAATTGGCGCAACGTCTCTTTGTTCCAAGTTTGTGGGGGATGTTTCCTAAGAGAAAAAAGGGACCCCATTGCGACTATTCTTCCACAGGAATATGACCTCTAGGAATGGCCACCAACCGCCACGACCCCTCGCCATGGACCTCGCGGTCGCGCTACTTGAATACCGTGTTTCTAGAACTACCTGAGAATCCTAACATTCGAGGAACTTCTTTCGATTGACCAATATGACATACACTTTCAACGGTTGAGATTTGTTAACTAGTTGGTTTTCTTGTCACTTGGGGTGTCATTCAACGGCTGGCATTTGATGTTAGAGAATCCTTTTTCTTCTTCATCTTCACATGAATGAGCACCGTTGATTTTACAATACATGTGAATATTCGGTCGCCGTTGTCTTCTTATAATAAACACATATCATGAGATCAGTGATGCTTGTGTCGAGAGACAAAACAAAAAAAAACATTTCTCCATTGTCAGTAGAACATGAAGGAAATTCCTGTAAAAGAATGTACGGACGCATGTTGCTTGAACGCCTCCTTGGACTTCTATAAAAAGGTGAAGGTAGAACTCTCTATCCTAAGTAGATGATAAGAGAAGATTTGAAATTTTGTCGGGAAGTTAGGTAATATCCCCTAATAATTGTGCAAATGATATCTTTCAAATGCGGGGAAGATTGTCCAAAAAGTCCTAAACCTATTGCACTTTTACCAATTTAGTCCTAAACCTTTTAAGTTTGCTAATTGAGTTATAAACTTTTTCACTTCTTGCCAATTGAGTCCATTCGGCCAATTTTGGCCACCCGAAGCTGACGTGGATGCTGGCCGGCGTCAGCTGTCCGGCCAATGCTGATGTGGTAGTTTTTTAATATTTTAATATTTTTTTGAATTTTTAAAAAAAATTCTTTTTTTTTTTTGGTCTTCCTTCCTCTGGCGAAGCTCGCCCCTGCCGGCCACTGGCAAGGGCGAGCCTGACCAACCCCTGGCCGGGCGAGGTCGACCTCGCCATCGCTTGGGTCTCCCTTGCCTGGCGACGGCGACGTCGGTCTCGCCAGATCTGGGTGAGGTAGAGCCTCGTCAGCCCCTTGCCTAGCCCAACGATGGTGAGGCCGACCTCGCCCAACGACGCCGAGGTTGGCCTCGCTAAATCTGGACGAGGTTAAGCCTCGTCGGCCCCAGACCTCGCCTAGTGACGGGGAGGTTGGCCTTGCCTTGGCTAGGTGAGGGAGACCCAGGCAACGGCGAGGTTAGCCTCACCTAGCCAAGGTGAGGCCAACCATACCGTCGGTGGGCAAGGCAAGGGGCCGGCGAGGCTCTACCTCGCCCAGATCTGGTGAGGCCGACCTCGCCTAGCCAGGGCTTGCCCTTGCTAGTGGTCGGTGGGGGCGAGCTTTGCCAGAGGAAGAAGACTAGAAAAAAAAATAAAAAAGGAAAAAATATTGAAAAAATATATTAAAGTATTAAAAAATTGCCATGTCAGCGTTGGCCAGACGATCGGCATCCACGTCAGCTCCGGGTAGCCAAAACTGACCGGATGAACTCAATTGGCAAGAAGTGAAAAGTATTGGGACTCAATTGGCAAACTTAAAAGGTTTAAAACTGAATTAACAAAAGTGTAATAGGTTTAGGACTTTTTGGACAATTTTCCCTTCGTCTATCAAATTATGTACAAATATATTTATTTTATATGTAAGTCCAGCCAAAGAGACAACATAGTTTCTTGAACTCCTACATCATTAGTCACCAACTATATGAATGATTTCTAGTTCGACTAGTAAATAGAGAATTTCATTTTCTTTCTGTGAATGTAGGTTTTTCATTTGGAAGTGAAAAGAAGAGCACACATAAAAGAAAAAAGGAAAGCTAGTGGAGGGAGAAGAAAATGTGAGGAAATAAATAAATGTGAAGGGAAAAGAAATATAAATAAGATAACAAATTGGAATGTGTGTCAAATGAGCAGATAGCCGTGTCTCAACAATACATAGATCTCCTCAAAAAGCACCGGAACTACTCACATAGTATCAAATTAAGGAGATATTACTGAGTCAGTGCTAAACATATTATATTGATGTCAATTCAGTTCTAAACTTTTCAATTTTACCAATTTATCTCTAAATCTTATCAGGGAATTCTAATGTAGTCCTTCTAACCAATGACAACAACCGATAAAGAGAGACGAGACACGGAGTGGGTAGGTGATGGTGAGGGTGCTTGCAATGACAACGGCTTGGTGAAACTAGTGGCAATACGAACAAAGAATGTGGATCCGCATTGTGGCTGAGAAATTCATCACGAGAAAGAAGAAATAGGGAAGGAGAGAAAGAAGATGAGTAGTAACATTGAAATCAAAGGGAAAAAAAAATAAAATAAGTCTGAAAATTTGAAAAAATTAAGCAAACGGTGTCATTTCACTTAAGTTCTCCCATGTCAAATGTCAGTTATGCCACGTAAAACGATCGGCAATGATTGGATCGCCTCGTCAGCATTTTCAAGTAAAAATTAGCCGGAATAACTACATTGGAAATACATGAAATGGTTTAGAATTATTTTAATGAAACTAAAAGTTTGAGACTGAGTTGGCATCTATACTAATTTGGTAATGTTTCCATTAGGTTAGTTTTGGTCATGTATGCTGGTATGCATGATAATATTATTGTAGTGAATAATGACAAATGTAATAAGTAAGAGTCTGATGTCGAAGAGAGTGTAGAGAAGTAGGAGGTAACAAAAGTGAGAACTTAAATGGATAGGTCACTTGCCATCCACAGTTAATTTCACCCAAAGGATAAAAGCAAAACTCGCCACCCGTCGGAATCCACCGGAAGGGATAAGAGTAGAACAAGAAAACTTCTTGTTCTTAAGCCAAAGGCTCAAATAAGTTTTGAATCAAATAAATCTACTTCTTTTATTCATCATAGTATGCTTATATAGATGAGCATGGACCAACCCTCCAAGCATGAGTAATTATCAAGACTCTTTGGAAAGACAAAAGACTCATAGGAAAGACAAAAACTAGATTTACTAGAAAACAAATATAATTAAGTAAGGACTCTAGAAATTTGAATGATATCTACTAAACCTTAAAAACATGAGAAATAAATTAAGTCGGTTGAGATTCTCCGAGGTTCTAGTTCCAAGTAATTGAATTAATGGCCTTCAAGGAATGCGAACAAACACTGGACATGTCGTGATTGATTAGACTTGGAATTGACAGTAGGCTTGCAAATCGGCAACTTGTTAGATCATCGTCAGCTTGTCCACTAGATCGGCAACTCTCTTGCATAATCAACGTCTTCAAGGAATGCTTCGGCATCAAAGTCGCCTCAAGTAGATATAGTATAATAAGGTGAACACTCTGTCCTCAAATCACCAAACAAGTTTAGTTTGCAGGCTACTCAAATTCGACTAAACCTCTAAACAATCATGTCGAGTTCAAGTAGCTTATATGCCGAGCTGAAAATAAGCTCGTGAGCAGATCAACTTGCTTGGTCAGCCAATACACAAAAGATGAGATGTTCACATCTTCAATCCAAAACCGACCATTGTCATAACCCAACTGTTGAATTCAATGCTCGAACTATATGTAAATCATACTAAATACAAAACTCCGATGATGCCCTTTCCATTCATCACTTCTCAATCCGGGCTTGGTCGAATATCCTTCCCGATATCGCATCCACAAGCGCTGACGTGAAATTGGGATCTCTTTTCAAGGAAGAGGCCATCTGCTGCACCAGAAACTGTTGAAATTCTGCCGCCGCCGCTGTTTCTTGGCCCCTTTTTGCAGATAGAGTGTCGATACCCAGGCACATCAAATCAGGAGTACTCCTAGGACTAGAAGATCTCGACTTCAAGGGCGATGGAATTGGAGGGGCGTCCGGATTCAGTTCCTGTTTGTCAGAACCTAGTGGAATCGGGGGCCGAGACAGGTTTGGGTGGTTGTGTTCTCCTTCATATGTGGCCAATAGGACAGATGGGTCATCAACACTTCTTTGTACCTGAAGATGCAAATGAAGCGTGAGAGTGAGATTGAATTCGTTCCGCTACTTTTCATCAAACACGCTATTTCTTGATTTATTTTTGGACTGTGATTGAGTGATCTCCAGAAAATAATTTCTAAGAGGTCTAACTAAGCTGAGTTACCTTCTTTTTAACAGGGCAAGTTGGGGCAAAGGAACATCTATAGTAAGCTCTTGGAAATGGGTTGTCTCTTGTGACCTTTTGACCGTATTTCCTCCATTGATAACCATCCTTCACTATCTATAGCAAGTGCAAATTCATAAAGCAAAATAAATGGAAAAAGAATCAATACAGTGGAATCCACTTAGTACTTAGAAAAGATGAATTTCTTTATGCCAACTATAAGCTTGAGAAACACGAAAAAACTGTTGTGTATTGAAACTAAGATCTTACAAGGCTCATGTCGGACGCATCAGTTCGGAAATGGATTTTAGAGATCTTGTGTTTGAAGCTATCCTTTGGCTTCTTGAACATCTGATCTACGCTGTAACTGCAACTCTCTGAGGCGACATGAGCTTCATGCTTCCTCTTTCTTGAAGCGCCGAGTTCACTTTCGGAGGTTTTACTCCCCAAGACATTCAATTGGTTATGCAGCGTATTATACCTCTCGTGCATAAGGGTCAGCATTTCAGTCAACTTCCTGTTCTCATGGCTAATTCGGTGATACTCCTCGACCAGTTCACTGGCCTGTACACAACAAAACAGATCATCTTTCGGTTTTGATCTTTGTATTCAAATACTCTAGTTTTCAGAATCGGTCACAGGGTTTCTTCAACTTCATTCTTATAGAAATTGATTCTTCTTTATTTTAAATGAGACCGGTCAGCTACACTTTTCTTGAAGCGTAGGTTTAACTTGACTTTGCCTCTTACCATTTCATTTTCGCTATTGTGCACTCTTCACTTCAACCGAAGTTGTCTAGAAGTACTTGAAAATTTGGGCTGGTGAACAGCAATACAAAGCTGGAAATTTCGCCACACGCTTTGCGTGAAACGCTCATGTCCATTTTAGAGGTCGAATATGTTGATTCACAGACACATTCTTGGCTTCTATAATAGCTGCCCTGGATTCCAATTTCTGTGACATTCTTATTAACAAAAGCAATTGTGTCATGTGGACGACTTAAGATTTGAAGTGGAATTTGCTGTTACTATTAGCTCCATTCCGGACGTTAACTGTGTCCGATTAGCCATAAGACCTTTACAACTTATTTTCATAAACTGACCTTTTATATCTCTAGCATTATTCCTATTTCTTCATGCAACTTCTGTTATAGATGGACTCACCTCATGCTTAACAACAGGCTCTTCTTGTCGTCCTCCTTGAGAGTTATCATTTCTTGGAACAGTTTCCTTCTTATGGTTCAATAAGAACTATGAAGAAGAAGAAGAAGAAGAAGAAGAAGAAGAAGAGACTGAGTTAAACATCTAAAGGTCTTTCTTTTCTTTTCACCAAACACAGAGATAACAACAGAAGCACAAGATTAATTACTGCATATCTACGCAAACATAAGCCCATCTCACCAGATACGATGTGTTAAGCTCTAGGGAAGTGTCCACTATCCAATTCGATTCCATCGGACTTGCACTCGACGCCATCAAGAACCAGAAAATAGAAAACCTGAAGTGATGAAGTTTAACTCAGAAGCCTTCCAAAAGAGTAGATGAAGGGACGGATGCAAGAATGGCGTTGCAATTTATAGTAAACTTATTGGGTGAGTGAGAAAGAGAAAGAAAATAAAAAAGAAAGGTGTACACATTAAGAGAGTTTCCACGAAGTATCGTTCGTAATGGAGTTCTCGAACGGCAGATTATGTTGGCATTCGTCTAAACCTAAAAAACAATTATAGTCGATTCCAAAACCAAGTGGAGCCCATAATTTGTTGACTTGACTTTATTTGTTGGCATTCGAACGGCAGAAGTTGCTTTTTCCAGCTTGGATTTATTTGTTGACTTGACTTTCAATGGTTTTGGTTAACTTTGAGCAATAATTTGTACATTCTTTTCAAATGAATTTAGGCAAAATATGACCACTTGACTAAGTGAATAACATGCTCGATCGATCTTGGATTTTCCCTAAGGGCAAGGGTGTAACCCAATCACGTGCATAAGAAGCGGAGAGGTTTCGTGCCAGGAATGTTCGTCCGGTTCTAGAATATGGCGATTGTGTGATGATCTCGAGTTCATTTATCAATTCTTTCTCTTTATAATAAAAAGCGGGAAAATTGCTAAATCACTCATAAACTTATTATATAAATGAAATCAGTAATAATTTTTTCGATTTTGCAAATTTAGTCATAAAATTTTGCACAAAACAAGCTAATTTTCGCAAGAAATCACTAACTTGGCGGTGTGCCACGTAGAACAGCTGGCGATAACTTGATAGAAACTTCAGCGATTTATGGCGAAAATTGGCAGGATGGACTACATTGGAATTCCGCTTGTTCTGTGAAAATTGTGGCATTTCTTCTGGACAATATTTTCCATGGAGTTATTCTTTAGGAAAATGACAATATTCTACAGTGTTGAACTCAAATTCGAAAATGAACTAGAAAACATTTTCCCTCATTTGGTAAGGAAAATTTCATTTGATTTTCCTAACTAGATATATACACTATTCGGTGCAATAGTGACTTGCGTATGGATAGCCAAAGAACCTGGCACGGGCACCGAGTCTCAAACCTAGATCCCCGGCTCTTGGGCACGAGCATGGGCATTGGTCTTGGGTCCACCAAAGTTGAGCAATCGTGCTCGGCTCTTTGGTGCCTCTGCCTGAGTCTACAAAGGCTGAACCCGGTCCATTGAGGTTGAGCTTTGGTCCCTGACGCTCTCTCCTAGGTCCATAGAGGTTTGGCTCAGGAACCCAATGCCCGCCCTTGAGTTTATCGAGGTTGGGTCCTTGGCAACCAAGTACGAGCATGGGACTAGGATCCTAAGCCTAACTTTAGTGGACCCAAGCATGGGAGCTGGGGACTCGGTTTCGAGCCCGAGCATCGAGGTCTTGGCCTGGGCCTCAATGGACCTTAGCGCAGGCGACAAGGGCTTGGACCCAACCTCGATGAACCCGAGCGGCAAGGAGCGGATTGGGCGCCGTGGTTCGAGGCCTGGCCTCGATGGACACGGGGTCCATGTACCGAGGACTCGGGCTCAGGCACTGGGGTCTTGGGCCTAGCAGAGATGGGCTTGAGCCCGGTATAGATAAACTGGAGCTCGGATGCCGAGGACCTTGGCACGGGCACAAGAGTCCCAAGGCACAGGCACGAGAATCTCGAGCCCAACCTTGATGGACTTGGGCTCGTGAGCCGAGGACCCGGACTCAGCATCGATGTTACTAGTCTCAGCGTCTTGGGCATGAGCACAAGCATCAGTATCTCGAGTCCAACTTCAATGGAGCGGGGCGCAGTGATTAGGGTCCCAAGCACAAGCGCCCGAGTCTCGAGCATAGGCACTGGGGTCTTTAGGCCCTGCCTCGATGGACCAAGGCTTGCCCTCAATGGACTCCAGTAGACTCGGTCATGACCTCTAGTTCTAGCCCTACTACCAAAGGCTCGAGAACAAGTGTTATAGTTCTCATGCCTAAGTGCAAAGTTTCTAATCCAAGTGTCAATATCTAGTTATATTTTGAAAAATGATTTCCGATTTATTAAAAATGAAATTATTTTCATGAATTTAAGCATTGACTTTCAGTGATTGGGAAAACCGTTTATGTTTACTCATTTTCCTAAGCAATTCAAATACCGAAAAATGAGGAAAACGTTTTCCTCGATAAATAAACGGAGCCTAAGTATTTAGACAATTTTGCTAAAGTCGGGGGGTGCAAATGTGTATTATAAAAGATAGAGACATGTAGATAGGTACTTATGTGAAACCTAAAGTACGTTATTTGCATTTCCCCTTTTCTTGAAGTTCCATTTCCTCTAGTTCCCTTCTTCTTTTGTTTCTTCCTTGGAGGCAGACCTTAGCACACCATCACATTACCGCTCGCCTGTAACTGCCCCTAGACCTCACTGACTCGTCTCCAGCCATCACCAACTCTCTCTCTCTCTCTCTCTCTCTCTCTCTCTCTCTCTCTCTCTCTCTCTCTCTCTCTCTCTCTCTCTCTCTCTCTCTCTCTCTAGGGTTTCACGAAATTAGGGTGACGTAATGCTAAGGCATGAATGAACATTGTGTGCAATATGGATCTTCGTAATAAACTCAGGGTGTGAAACGGTTGTTTCCATAGACTTGGTAATTCATCTTTAGTACATCATGCGTTGGGAAAATAGGAAATCTTCAAATGGGTTGGAGCCAATCAAGGAAAAGTGGGAGTGGATCGAACAAAGTATCAGCTGAACGAGTTGAAGTTTGAAATCGTAATCGAACTTTATTTTAATGGGCGGCAATGGTTGAATGATGGATATATACATTGAAGTTTGACCACAGTGTGAAAAATCTGGCCGCTATCCAAGAGATATTATTAAAAAGAAGGCGTGACAAGTCGGCAGGTAATACACTTTCTCAAACAGAGTATCTCACCAAAATAAATGAAAATACTTTACGTGTCCACTCTTCCTTTCAAAAACACATACGGAGTAATGCAATTCTTAGTTGATAAGTAGACCCATCAAACGGTCGGATGAAAAAATGATCCGACCCAAATAGACCCATTTAACCCGTTTTCACACATTTCCATGCAATGCAAATATATTGACCTGTTTCGACCAAAAAAATAATATATTGATCCATACCTGATCCGACTCATATTTCTAAAACAATTCAATATTTAACCTAATCTAAGAAAACTTATATCCAAATTGAAGTAAGAGTGCAGAGTGAGTGAGCACAAAAGAGAATGAAGAGAGAGAGTTATACGTGGAATGTGTTTAAATAAGTTGTAAACTCGTTTATGACCAATTGAACACTCATATTATCCCATTTAAAAAGTATAGCTAACCCATTTAACAACTTAGTTTATCATATATGGGTTAAAAAATAAGTCTATGACTCATTTTGATAGATCTATTGGTAAGTAGGCCTTTTTATTAAAATTTTTTTTTTAATTTCTAAGTTGGCTTGAAGTCCTTGACTGGCAATTAAAATTCCTTTTATTTTTTGGATAATTTAAGGGCGTGAACACAGAGCTCCAACTGCCTAGATGCTTATAAAATATCATGCAAGCTCCATAAATCGGGTTAGATGTAATCACAATACTTTCATAATCTATCTATGGTATTACTAAGCCAAATTTAGCCTCACACTCCAATTTAATGGGCCTCGCACTCCATCTTAATGGTACATAGGTTTTGATTCATTATCCCTAAAGTAGATAATCTTTTAGTAAAAAAAAAATCAATATAACGGAGAAGAAATTCGGTACAGGTCGTCTTCTTTCTAAATTTAGATCCTTTTTCTAAGACTAGAGATTACTTTCCAATAATAATTTATGAAAAAAATCTCCCTAATGATTAAGTTAGGATATTATGCGAACTCGTATAATACTTTAAAGCATGGTATTACGTTTTGAATACCAACCATAAGAGATTGTAAAGATTAAACACGCAATTGCTTCAGGCTAGTTATCTTATCTTATCTTATCTTATCTAGGTGACCAGTTTCAAAGTGTAAAGAAGTAAAAATAGTATTTTTCCTCTTATCAAGCAATACAAATGTTTACCTTCTTGTAGCATCATGACTCTAGCCACTACAAAATCGCCCTGCATTATCTCAATCGTCGGATTGAGATAGTCATGACAGTCATTAGGTCAATTTTGAGCTACAAACCCATGAGAGAACAAAGCGAACTTGATCATGCTAAAATTTCCGATTTCTAGTGCTTGGATGACAGGAAATTAATCAATTTATGGAAAAGGTTTTCCATGAACTAAAACAAGTTTAGATTAGGAGAAAGCGACTTCTCCTTTTCCTTCTGGCAGAAATGAAATCATTTTCCCTAAACCATCAAACAAATAAAAACTCACTATTTCCTTTGACAAATGGTTTCCATAAAAAATATTTTCCTTTATCATAAAGTTTCCGGTGAAATAAACGCACCCTAAGCAAGACTTTTGCCTCACACTCCGATTTAATGGGCTTCACACTCCAATTTAATGACATAAAGGTTTTGATTTAATACCCTCAAAGTAGATAATCTTTAGTAAAAAAATTGATATAATGGAGAAGTTTGGTACAAGTTGTCTTCTTCCTAAATTTATATCCTTTTTCCTACAATTAGGAATTATGTTCCAATTGTAATTTTGAAAAAGATCTCCCTACTGAGTAAGTTAGGAACTTAGGATATCATGTAAACTCGTTCAAAACTTTGAAGCATGGTATTACATTTTGTTGCACAAGGTATAAATGGGTAAAAATGATATTTTTCTTTATCAAGCGGTACAAATAGTTACCTTTTTGTAATATCGTGCCTCTGAGCACAACAAAATCGCCATGCATTATCTTGACCGTCATTGGATTGAGATAGTCATGTCGGTCTTTAGGTCAATTTTGACTGCGAGCTTCCAAGTGAACAAAACGGACTACACTAAAATTTCCGCCATAATCTTTGTTTTAAAATAATATTTCTTGGAAGGTTCAGGAAGAAGCGAGACTTGACTTACGGGTTTGAGACCCAATGCATGTCACAAGAGAGGTTTAGACAGTCTTTTCTTTGTAGAAATTAGACATATTTGTGGATACTACGACGTGGGACAAATTGATGACCCCATGAAATGTACGTGTGACCAGTCCAAAAGACAAGACAATGCATGGCTCGTGACGCACGAATTGAT